ACTTATGCAGAACAAACTTCAGCTCTAGGCTCATGTTCGGTTCCTGAAGTTTAGCTCTTGCAATCTAAATCAGACCTGCCCAGGGTGTTTGCAACGTCAGTGCTCTTGGAGACTGCAGTGGAAACTTGTTTGGAGAGAACTGGGGGGAGCTGGAACAATGTCAGAGTGTGCTGGGAAAAGCTGCTTCATGTGGGATGTCTGCAAGGAGCAATTACAAAAATAACACTTGCTGTCAGCCGATAGAGCAGTGAGTGGATAATAAATACAACAATCTACTTTGTGTTCCAGCATCTCAAGTTGTAAAGCTTTTCTATTAGAAGTTTGTGTGGAAAACAGTAATTTAAAACACTCTTCTGAACAGCTCGTAGGTATGTTTTAAATTTTTACGTTGATGAGTTGGAGATCTGTTTTTTTTAAAAAAAAAAGTTTATATTTTTACAACCATGGAAAAACTCTGGCCTGTCAGAAGGGTGTGCAGGCATCTGAATCCTGCTCTTTCTCCCCTTCTCATGGCTGCTTGATAGGGAAGGTGGTGCGATTCATGTACAGATCATGTGTTTTAAGGCTCCCTGCTGAAATCTCATTGAACTGAAAGGTGCTGTTCCAGGAGTGTCTGAGAACAAACATGGGATTAGACACTACAGCTTTCCATCCTTCTCCGAGAAATGTTGTTTTCACGGGCTGTGTGACATGATCTTTTTTCCTTAACTGGCAAATGACTTGTGAAATTGTTTCGTATAACCAATTAGACCTTGCAGTAAATTTAAACTCAGTTTTAGTCCACTCAACATCATGTTCTTGCCTCGCAAACCATTGAATAGATTGTGTTTTTGACTAGTTCTGTTTATCATCCTAACGTTAGATTTGGCAAGCAACAACTGTAACCTGCTACCATGAAAAATTATTTCCAACATGTTCTTCATTAAACTTTTCTTCAGTATTTGGCTATCGCTGGAGGTTTACAGTTTTCTGCTGAAGATCTAAAAAAAAAAATTGCAATGAAAATTGACTGTCAATAGTTCTACATTAAAGTCCCTTGACATCTCAAGGTATGCAAGTTGTTTTGAGTTATGTGTGTGTCAGTTTAGCAGTGCGTGAATAGAAAATACCAGTTCTTTCCTTGCTAGCTTGCTGAAAAGTATGCAATCCAAATTGACAACAGGAAAGGACGGAAAGAATTTGTTTTTAAACATCAGTTGAAGGAAAGCAGAACTGATGTTTCCCTTGTATTTTTGGGGGTATTTTCATATGTCTTAGTTCCAAAGTGCTCTTTGTTTTGTTAGAGAAAGAGTCTAGTTTCAGCTTGAAAAAAAAAACAACCAACAAACCCATATCACATTCATATACAATGCCTTTAATTCAGATGAATCTAGGAGACTTAATAGTATATTGCACAAACTAGCTTAATATCAGTATTGCGTGTCACTAAATGTAATCTGCCCATCAAGAGGCTATGTGCACTGACCCTGCGAAAGGTAAAACCGGGAAACAAAAAAACCAAGGCAGTATTTCATTTAAGGTGCTGTGTGGAAATTTGAGCATGCAGTGTGTTCCGAGGAATTAATTTCGGATAAAGGCTAATCTGCCACCTCCCTCTGCGGTTGCTGGAGAGAGGGGCTGCTCCTCTTAGCAGCTCTAAGCAAGGTCCTGGTGTAGGTGGTACGAAATGCTGTCTGGAAGGAACCCAAGACCCTCTCCTTTAACTGTACAAGGAGCTTGGTAAGACTAAATGCCTGTACCGGCAATTAATCTATACTAATACCTACAATTAACTGTGTAATAAATTTGACCATTCTGTCAGCTTGCATCTTTTGCTCTCGACCGTTAATAAAGAGATCAGGATTTAGTTGCACAAATAACACAGAGGAGCTTGTGTCTATGAACAAGCCACGGGTTTTGCGTGCCATTTTTGTGCCACAGCAGCTGCCACCCAAGGTGCTGTCCGTGGATCGCGCAGGTGGTGAGCACCCGCACCCCCCCCCCCCCCGGGGCGGCACGGGGGGGGTTTTGCCAA